GAGCAGTGCTCTTCGTAGCGTTGATTATTCTCATCATGGTCATTTTATTAAGACGAAAGAAACGTCAGGGAAAAGGTAAAGAGTCTCTAGATGTTGTAAAGATGAAACTATTATTATTCCCCAAATGAAAATAGTCTCTAATGATATAATGGTTTAGATATCATTCATGCGGCGAAGCCTTTAACTGACCTTCTGTCTCTCAAAGACTATTATTTTGACTGCGAAAATAGAACTGGAGACTAACCACACAGTACAACGAAAGATCAAACAAGCCCTTTTTGTTAGTTTGTTTTCATGTTTGTTTTGTTGTTGTTGTTTTCTTTTCTCAGGAAAGTGTTATTGTTCCTTGATTTCCAGATAATATTTATTGTATTTATTTTTGATTACATACCTGGCTTACATATGAAACTTAATATTGTTTCATATTGCCTTTACCTTCTCAGCCGTTCTTTCCTTTGTCGACATCGTGCTTATAAGCAATGTTGAATAAAAAACCAGCTTTGAATACGTAATAACTAGTTTGGCAGAGGTTGAAAAAGTGGTTTCCAAATGATTATAGGTAAAACTAACACCAGTCTACACTTATGCGTCCACAATTTCAGAAAAGTCTTCGTTGTTACGTTGTTGTTGTAGCCACTGTTACTCTCCGCTTAGAAAAAACAACCGTTAATCTTTTTATTTTTAAATATCATTATCATTATTTGTTAACAAAGGAGATGGTTCCTGTGGTAAATGGTTTGTTTGTTTGTTTTTTTGTTTGTTTTTCTAAGATACAGAGAGCGTACTGCCTAAAGAGTCTTCGCCGAATATGTCAGCGCCAAAGAAGTCAGTATTTATCTTTGCTTTGTTTTTATGTTTCTATGTTTATTTAACTGTTCGTTTGTTTATATTTTTGGGGGGTACGTTTTGAGTTTCTTACAACGGATCATTACCAAATGATAACACCAACCAATATTTATTGAATTTGTATAGGGTAAGGTAAGTTCAGCATACTATTGCTGGAAATCCTATCCTCTTAGCATAGCATGGAGCAATTACGAGTATTGATACTTCTCCCTTCCCTAAAGATAATCCATTCCATAGCAGGATTACTTCTTCCCCTCCCCCCTCCTTACATTCCGTCATGTGCCTTTTTGTCTCCGTCAAACGTGGTCTCTGTGTACCAATCAATACTCCCGGACGGAGAGGGACACCGCGAGGAACGTTTCTCAAACCCCTGCTAAAGACACACGTGTCTAGAATGTTTGAGACTGAAATGAATCATCTTTCCACGCACTGCGATGATTTCAGAGCGGGGATGGCGGAGTGGTGAGAACGCTAATCTCCCACCACTATGGCTCAGGTTCGATTCCTGGATCTGGTGATAAGTGTCGGTTGCGGTTGTTGTTGGTTCTCGTCCTTGCTTCGTGGGTTTCTTCACAGAACCTTCCGTTTTGCTCCCACGCAAAAACCAACATTCTCAATTTTTTTTTTTTTAACCTAAGCAGCGAGAACGACCAATTAGGAGAAAGCCAATATGAATCTGTGAAGCAAGTTGAAGCCGCAAAGCTTCTTGGGTCACCGAACAGCAAGAATAATACTAGGCTTCAACCACCACCAGAAAATTGTGAATATGCTGTTGTCAACAAGGCAAACAAGAAGGTGAGCAGTTAGCGTTAGAAGTATGGATGTAATTGGGATTCAGTGTAATTTCAAGTTTTTGCTAGAATGATGGACTCTAATTAATTTGACATGTGCAGCAGATGAATGAATAGATTCTTGAACGTCTACAGGCAGATTGGATAGAATTGTGCGCATGACTAAACCTGAAGAGAGGCAGATTATGGAATACATTGTTATCTACGTACATAAGGGCATCTAGATATTGATGTTCGCTAGAGCGAGGCTCTTTGCGCTGAGAAGTTTGTTAAATGTGGCATCAGACCAAAAGGAAAATTAAAAAAAAGAGATTCCATGACATAAACTTGTAGCTAGCATCATCATTAGCAGGGCATTTTGATATATGAATTTTTTTTTCCGTGTTGATTCAAGCGAAAGGAGGGAGACCTTGTGTACGCCCAACTCGCCGAATTTGACCATGAAACTGATGCCACCAAACCACCAAAACCACCCAGCTATGAGCCTACGGTATACGCTGATGTTGAAGTACCAGACTCCTTACAGCCAACGTATGCAAATCTTGAAACGACTGGTGTCTGAATGAAATAAATGTACGTAATTTACCAGCCGAGAGGTCTGTACTAATAAAAAGCTGTGCTCAAGTTCTTGGACACCGCAAGAGGCCGTACACAAGATCCTCCGGGACGTGCCGAAGAAAAAAATATATTAAACCTGGCCGCTTGTGACAAATGTCGGTGACCTAAAAATGACTGCTTTCCCCCATCATCTGGTAATTGCCAACTTAGCAGGATTGTTGTTTATAATGTTGGTAATCCGTGATCCTTGCTTAGGTTTTGATGCTACGACGAAAAAACGACAAATATGGAATTGGATCCTATTGGCTTTCTGTTAAAAATTCAACAG